GGTCTTGCCCAGCTGAGGGTGTTGCACAGCAGATGGGGCATGTCTAGCACCAAGGATTATGTTTGAAACAACTTGGGGATGGGTCTTGCCTAGCAGAGGGTGTCGCACAGCAGATGGAGCATGTGTTGTGTTGGACACGGAAAACGTAAATTGCACTTTCAAATTACAAGTTGGGGGGCAGCGCGATAAATACTGGGCCTGCTGCAGAGAAGAATAATCTTCACAAGGAATAGCGTCTTCACCTGGAACAGCGCCTTCAGAGGGAATAGCGGCTTCACAGGGAAGAACGTCTTCACAAATAATAGCGTCTTTCACCGGGAATAGCGTCTTCACCCCGGATAGCGTCTTCACTGGGAATAGCGTCTTCACTGGGAATAGCGTCTTCACCCGGAATAGCGTCTTCACAGGGAATACCGTCTTCAACGGAAATAGCGTCTTCACCGGGAATAGCGTTTTCATCTTGAATAGCGTCTTCACAAAGAATAGCGTCTTCACAGGGAATAGCGTCTTCACAGCGACTTCACCCCGAATAGCGTCTTCACAGGGACTAGCGTCTTCACTGGGAATAGCCTCGTCACCGGGAATAGCGTCTTCATCGGGAATTGCGTCTTCACAGGGAATAGCGTCTTCACAGGGAACAGCGTCTTCACAAGAAATAGCGTCTTCATCTGGAATAGCATCTTCACAAGGAATAGCGCTTTCCCCCGGAATAGCGTCTTCACAAGGAATAGCGTCTTCACAAGGAACAGCGTCTTCATAAGGGAAGTGCTGTCTATGTCCGCAGAACGCGTCTTCACAGGGAATAGCGTCTTCACTGGGAATAGCGTCTTCACCCGGAATAGCGTCTTCACCCAGAATAGCGTCTTCACAGGGAATAGCGTCTTCACCGGGAATAGCGCCTTCACTGGGAATAGCGTCTTCACAAGGCATAGCGTCTTCACACGGACAAGTCTTGAGGAGGAACAACGTCTTCTAATAGCGTCTTCGGCGCCGGCTCGAACGGGGAACCCCGGTTGCCGGGGCAATGTATATACATATATATATACATACATACATACATACATACATACATACATACATACATACATACAAACTTATACATGTAACAAGCCTGGGAGGGGGAAACCGTTCCACACATACACACACACACAACCAGACCTCTGGAATCCAGGGGTTTGGGCCGCCCTGGACGCCCTTGAAAGAGGTCCCCCAAACCAGACGCGCCTTCCAGGGCGCCTTGGCGCCTTGCCGGGCCTTGCCCAGCAGACCCACAGCGATCAGAGGAGAGAAGTGGTCGAAGAGGCGCAGGAGAGCCCCAAGACAGCGCAAGACGGATTTCAGACGGCCCAAGAGGCCCGAACGACGGCCCATGAGGCCCCCAAGACGCCTCAAAATTCAGGCAGGCCCCCAAGACCGTTTGGGAAAACGTACATGTTCAGCTGATTCGCCTTTTGTGTCGCACCAGCGTCCCCAAGAGGGCTCCAAGACAGCCCACGAGGGCCCTAAGACTACCCCAAAACGGCCCAATAGAAGCTCACGAGGCCCTCAGAAGGCTCCCAAGAGACACCCACGAAGGCCTTGGGCCCACGATGGCCCCAAGAAGCCCCGTAGAGGTCCCAAAGTCCCCAAGAAGGCCCCAGCACGGCCCAAGAAGGGCCCAAGACGGCCCAAACGAACATCGAAAGGACCCCCAAGACAGCCCAGAGAGACGCCCAGGAGGCCCCCAGAGCTCCCCAAAGCCCTTGAGGGGTATTCGTGAGGCCCCCGAGAGTTTCTTCAACGAGGAGTCTCCGCAAAAAGACCTGCGGCAGAGGCCCGCAACGCCAGGCGAGAGCGAGGATGAATGAGAGGAACGATGTGGAACGATAAGGCGTTGCCTCCCATTGCCTTGCACTAGGTTCCCCGTGGGTTCCCCACGCGGTGCTTGTACTAGGGTTTCCTGTCGAGGTGTTGAGCATTTGAATGGGTCGGCCGAGGTTTCGTCACGTGCCCGCCCATGCCGCATCGTGGGCGCTCGTGAGCCCCACACCATATAGCGTACACCGGCCTTTTCTTCTCGCATGGTTTCCACAACGCCGATTCTCTTTACTAAAAAGAAAATGAACTCTACCCCCGCCCCCCCGGCGCTATCCCCCCATTTTCGGGTATGTAAATCATATATGATTCTGACCACATGTCCATCCTACACATGAGTTTACACTATGTTTGAGGGGCCGGGGTCGACCCCCTGAGGCTCCCTGGTAAAAAACGATACGCGGGGACATGTTTTGCTTCAACATAACACTTGTTTACGAATCTTTTGCAAAAAATCAAACGAAGTGCACAGGCGCGCGTCGTCGCGCGCGCATGCCGAAATCCTTCAAAAACCTTCGGTGTCGAAGGATTTCGCAATCGAGCTTCCAGAAAACATGCAAAAGCACAGATTTCGCAACACGGATTTGCTAAAAAAATGTACGCGCAAACTCTTGCGATATGATAAGAAAACCATAGGTTGTTTTCAAGATTGTCACAAAATGCTACCAAACGGGCTTCGCGCGCGGGCATGTCGAAATCTGTCGAACGTCCTTGCGCGTGTGCCGTCGCGAGAATCCTCTGCAAAAAATGGGACGAAATGCAGACGCGCGCGTCGTCGCGCGCGTAAGCCGCAATCCTTCAAAACCCATCGGTTTCGGAAGGATTTCGAAATCGCGTGCCCAAAAAACCTACAAAAACACAAGGTTTCGCAACACGGATTTTCAACAAAAGCGTGCGCGCGCGCTCTTGCGACGTCGTCGTCGTCGGCGTCGCCGTCCTCCCTCCTCCCGCGTCGTCGTCGTCGTCGCCTACGTCGTCCTTTGTCTTTCCTCGTGTTCGTCTTCGTCGTCCTCTTTGGCGTCGTGGTCGTTTCCGTCGTCGTTGTCGCCGTGGTCGTCCTTCCTCCTACTCCCTCGTCGTCGTCGTCGTCGTCGTCCGTCGTCGGCGTCTCGTCGTCGTCCCTCCTATTTCGTCGCCGTCGTCGTCGTCGTTGTCGTCGTCGTCGCCTTCCCTCTTCCCTCGTCGTTGTCGTCGTCGGCGTCACCGTCCTTCCTCCTTCTTCGTCGTTCGCGTCGTCGCCGTCCTTCCTCCTCCCTCGTCGTTCTTGTCGTTGTCGTCGTTGTCGCCGTCGTCGTCCTCCCTCCTCCCTCGTCGTCGTCTTCGTTGGCGATGTCGTCGTCGTCGTCTTCGTCGTCGTCGTCGGCGTCGGCCTCGTCTTCGTCGTCGTCGACGTCGGCGTCGTCGTCGCCGCCGTCGTCGTCGTCGTCGTCGTCGGCGTCGATGACGTCGTCGTCGTTGTCGTCGGTGTCGTCGTTGTCGTCGGCGTCGTCATCGTCGTCGTCGTTGTCATCGTCGTCGTCGTGGGCGTCGGCGTAGTCGTCGTCGTCGTCGGTGTCGTCGTCGTCGTCGTTGTCGGCGTCGTCGAAGTCGTTGGAGACGTCGTCGGTGTCGTCGTAGTCGTTGTCGGCGGCGTCGTCGTCGTCGTTATCGCTGTCGTCGTAGTCGTTGTCGTCGGTGTCGCCGTAATCGGTCTTAAGGAATTTTGCAAAACAAGTTGCGGGTGGGTGGGTGGGATATTTGCAAGAGCATGGGATGTGTCAAATCATGGGTAAAATCATTCCCAACAGAGAACTGGCATTCTAAACTGTACCTGTCATACTAGCACAGAACTGGCCTCCTGTAGATACCACCACATCGCCCCCATGACATAGTTTAACGAAATAGCTACCACCGCATAGCTAAAAAAAACGCCGCTGAGCTCACACCACACGGTTGCCACAACACAGGTCACACTACATGGCTTCGGATTAAAACACCTCGCTCTTCTGGGTCTACAATGGTTCATACACTTGGTGGTTTTTTTGCTGTTGAGAGCCGCTGGAAGCCGCCAAGCGTCTTGGAGTTTCTGCCATCCTCGGAAGTTTTGATTCGACCTCCAGGAACCGCTGCAACCCGAAGGGCCTGAAAAAACATATCCTGGAGTAGAGGAAACGACCCCCAAGAGACAGGTTTTCCTCCATAGCCGCAGGTTTACGTCGTGTCGGCGCGGCAGCGACATCGGAGCAGGCGCTCGAAATGAAAGCGGCCAGTGGTCAGAAATCGGCCTGTGTTGAACGGGAATGCGCGATCGTTCACGCTTGAACGACTCGAGCGATGTCAAAACAATCGACCGACGCGCAGGCCGCTGCAACACTTGCCGGTGCAGGATCCAGCGAAGAAGGCACGCAATGCTGGCCCAACGTTTCTTCGGAGCCTCCAGGGTGGGGTTCTCGTCGCCACGTCACCGGGGCCGCCTCGAGATTCAGCTCGACCACCCCAGGAAAATTCCGGGCGGCGCACGAACACGTCGATCGAGTGCGAGAGTACATGAAGACCACGGGCAAGGGGACTTGGAGAGGAAACGGCCACACGGCAAAGGCCAAGGAGGACGACGCCATACGCAAAGCTTGAAGGACCGAGGTGCGCGTCGCGAAGCGCCAACGCAGCCTTGCATATCTACATACATGTATATACATACATACATGCATATGCATACCTTTTGTATATATATATGTATATATACACGTATAAATGCACCGACCTAAACATATACATACATACATACGTACATACATATATACATACATACATACATACATACATACATACATACATACATACATACATACATACATACATACATATGTATATATGCATACATGCAAGAAAGAGCTCATGCTGCATCTTCCGTGCGCGCGCACGCCAATGCGTACATGCCCTCGACTGTAAGCACATGCATTCAAAATTAGTTCGCACATGCAAACTTTGATGCATGCACATGTGTACATACACTGCTGCACGAATGTGCATGCACATGCGCACGCACACATGCAATCAGCCGGCAGACGTACCCATCGAGCACTGGACAAGTCTGGCCTCCCCCATCACGCCAGAAAACCGATGGGAGACGCAAGCCGCGCGAGATCGAGGCCGTCTGAGCGAGCAACTCTGTACGCTGTGAGCTCCCCCGCAACGCGCCGGAACCTCACAACGTAGATGGACTCCAGGTGGTCCAGGTGGGCGACCTCGAGGTGGAGGCGCGGGGGGAGGACGGGACGGGACGAGGAGACCCGTAGGGGGGGGGGGAGGGACGACGCCGCGCGCAGGACTGCACTGCATTGTGGGGAACGCTCGACGGCCCAGTGGGCGTGCGCAGATCGGCACGGCCACGCGAGGTCGAGGTCCGACGTGCGGGTGCTCGCGCCCAGACAAAGGCCTGCCGGGCACTGGGAAATCAAGCGTGCCATCTCGCATCAGAAAGCCTGCCTTCCGCTCCACCTGTCCACCATTCGTGCCTGTCGTCCTTGCAACTGGGCGCCAATTTGCTGCCAATGGACGCCGATTGGCTGACAATTGCCTGCCACTGAGGATGGACGAGGAGGAAGGAGCATAAGTCAGCGCACTGTGTGCAGATGGTAAGGTTCTTTCGTGGCTATGCGGACGCAGGTCAACACGTGCGCACGTTATGTCAAGCCGTTTTCGTACGGGCACTACCGTCTAGGGATTTCGGTGTACGCATAACGCGTGACATTGAAATGGATCTGAAACGAGTATGGGAGCAATGAATAATGAACGATGCGATAACGGTTCCTCCTCAATCATCATCATCATCATCATCATCATCATCATCATCATCATCATCATCATCATCATCATCATCATCATCATCATCATCATCATCATCAGCAGCAGCAGCAGCAGCAGCATCATCCTCATCATCATCATCATCATCATCAGCATCATCATCAGCATCATCAGCATCATTAGCATCATTAAAAGAATTGTCATCATCAACAACAACATCAACGTAAGCATCATAATCACCATCATCATCATCGTCGTCGTCATGTATCCTGCTCCTCCTCCTCCTCCTCCGTATCCCGCCTCTTCCTGCGTTTGCCATACTTCTCCTCGTTCTCCTCCTACAACTCACCTCTGTGCCTCCTCCTCCTCATCCTTGTCCTCCTCCCGACACCTTTCTCCTCCCTCCTCTTCCTCCTCCGCCTGCTCCTCCTCATCATCATCACCATCATCATCACCACCACCACCATCGTCATTATCATCATCATCATCATCATCATCATCATCATCATCATCATCATCATCATCATCATCAGTATCATCAGCAGCAGCATCATCATCCTCATCATCATCACCACCATCCTTACCATCCTCCTCCTCCTCATCATTATCATCATAGTCCTCATCAGCATCATCATCAGCATCATCATCAACATCAGCATCCTACCCATCGTCATTATCCATCCCTTTCCTATATGATGTCGCACCCCCAGATGTGTCGACAGGGCGGAGCAGTTCGCCTGAGACTTCCTCGCCATTTGCAACCCTGATCCTTGAAAATTAGAAAGAGCCAAAAAGCAATGGTGGAGGGCGGATGGTCTTCAAAAAATGATGCTCGCCATGGCGCCGCGCATATCCGTCGTAAAGATTCGCAACAGAGCGAGAGGTTTCCAAATTGTGACTTTCGCGTTAGCGCCGCGCACATCCGTCGTAAAAAATCGCAGCAGTAGCTTCAAGAATGGAGAGCGGGTGGTTTTGAAAATATTGTCCTCGCCATAGCGCTGCGGACATTCGTCTGAGCATATTGTAGCAGCTTCGAAGATTGAAAGCGGCTCCTTTTCCAAAACTTGGCTTTCGCCTTAGCGCCGAACACAGTCACTTGAACCGTTCGCAACAGTTGTAAGGGCTCGTAAGGCTGAAGTCCCAGACATGGGGTTCTGGCACGATGCAGCATTTTCAGGACGAAGCAGTCAAGTTGATCCGGGGGGTAAATCCCAGGAGTGACGCTCTGGCACGATCTCAACGTTGCCAGGACGCAAGGTTCACGACGACTCTGGGAGCTGAAATGCAGAAATGCTGTTCTGGTACACTTTAAGATGCTCAGACAGGTGTTCTTCAATGGGGCACTTCCCGCAGTGGAAGCAATCTCCCCCTGGGGACCTGTGAGGAGTGCACTTAGAGAGAGGGTGTACTGTAGCATCGTGGATGCGCCTCGGGCTTACATTGGTCCGCCTGTCCTCCTCACACCCTGGAGTGCCCGGCCGAAGGCGGGAGCCGAGGAGGGTCGAGAAGGGGAGGGCGGGAGGGCGATCACAGCGCTGAGGGCGAGGAGGGCGAGGAAGAGGGCAAGGACGACCCGAAAGAGCCGAGGGCCGATTGGAGGGGGGTCGAGGGTCGAGGGGGGAGGAGATCCCGTCCGCCCTGCTCGTCGCGAGTCGACAGCGCCGCGCTCGAGACGATCGAGCTGGTGCGACCGCACAGCGCACTCGAGGGTCGCGGCAATCGGCATGTCGAATTGAGTTGGTCGCCCGAAACACGTACACAAAAAATGGCAATGATGCCCAAGAGCGACTGTGGTCCAAAACCGACGGCGGGCACTGCTGTGCAGGCGACACGGTGCTTCAAATGGACAGCCTCCACGGCGACACCGACAGCGAGCCCTGTTGATAATGGGCAAGAGCTGTTGTCGGTTTTCGCCCCACTGTTTCTGCACCATTCTCGGCCGTACCGAATGACTTCGCGAGCACAACTCGCAGCACGCCTCGGCCGGCCCCTGGAGAGTCGCCACGCGGGGGCGGGGGCGGGGTCCTCCATCTCGAAGCGGAGGCCCTGCTTCTGGCACTTGACCAGGAACGGGGAGGCCTGCTTGAAGGCCACCTGGGCGCGCCCAGGAAGGCTCGCTTCCCACCCGTTCGACGTCGCTCTGGACTGTGCAGCTCCCGCGACACTGGGCGGGCGCAGGAGGAGAGGGAGGAGGGGGGGCAAGAGGGCGAGCGCGACGAGCAGCAGCAGCAGGAGGCGCGCCGCTTCGCCAGCACGGCGAGAAGCATATAGGGGCAGGCCGGGAGTAGCCCTCGAAGCGTGCACCGAGCCGTCTGGTCGGCCGAGGAGCTGGGTGTCCAGACGCCCCGGCTCCCCCATCTGTGGAATGCCGGAGCCGCCAAGCGGCCGCTCTCGGAAACGAGACGCCCCACAGCTGTGCGGGCCAGGCTCCGAGGTGCCAGGAGCGCGCGGGGGCTCACCTGAAACAACCTTCCCCGGGTGATCCAGGCCTCGGAAAAAAATAGCGAACACTCATGCCACATTCATCTGTGAACGCCTCCCCCTCCCCCCAATGTTCAAAGTTGGCGGTGGGTCTGATGAGTTGCACCTCGACCGCAGTCTCCCCCGCGCGTGCCAGCTTTGAGATGAGGGAGGGGTCACTAATTCTTTCCCTCTACCGTCACACCGAGGCTGCAGTCCCAGGGCTCGCGCTCGAGCGCTTCGGAGACGTCCCGAAGGGGGGCGTCCCAGAGGGGGGGTCGCAAATCATGTCCAGAGGCACGTGCGCGGACGTGGGGGGGGACCAGGGTGGACGCACTGAGATACGAAGAGGAAGCCATAAAATCTGGACGCACACTGGGATAACCAAAAGATACCGATACCGCTACTCCCCGGCCCTCTTCCAGGGTGCGTTCTGACCAGGATTTCGAGGCGAATCCAACGGTGGCGACGAGGGCCTCCCAGCAGGCCCAAGAAGGGGACAACGAGGGAAAGGTAGAGGTATGGGTACCTCTCCCTCCTCTGAGTTTCATGGCCCTAGCCATGACATGCAAGGCGGGGATATATCCACATCCACCGCCTGGGGAACCGACGTACTGGGACCCAAGCGGGCGGTGGATGCGGACATGTCTGGCCACCCCCGGGGCCCGAATATATCCATATCCACCGCGTGAGAGGACCAAAAAAGTGGAACCCCCAGGGCCTCCGCGAGGCCCGACCCAACTCTGAATCTGGCGGGAGGGGGTGGGGGCGAACACGAGCTCGAACCTGAAAGGGTTCTACCTTCTTGTCCTCTTAGCCCGTCCCAGTCACCACCCCCTTCTTGGCCGCCCCCGAGCGTAAGTAGAGGAGGGAAAAACGCCATGAACATAAACTGTTGGCGCTCCGCGCAGGTCTCTTGGGCTTGCGCTGGACCCCCCCTCCCTGGCGCGCGGAGCGCGCCAGGCGGGAGGCACCGCCAGGGCAGGGGGGCCCCAGCGCCGATCCAGGAAATCTGCGCGGAGCTCCGAGAGTTTGCGTGTATGGAGTTGATCATTCTTCGATGTTTGTCCCCTTGCCGTCCCAGTCACCGCCCGCCCCCTTCTTGGCCGCCCCCGAGCGCAAGTCTCCCTCCCAGGGGCCCCAGGCGGGCGGCACTTAGACAGCCGAGTTCCACTGCTCGCAGAGCAACTACTCGCAAATGGTCTGGATCCGCCGCGGGGGGGTACGATACATAACATCGAAGCAAGCATGTGGTGTTTGGACTTCTGCGAGTAGGCACTTTGCGGGTACTGGAACGCACTCGGTGAGGTGTTTCGAGGCAGCGGCCACGCCCGAGTTCCAGAGCGCCGCCTTCGCGCCGCACCCTGGCCTGCTTAGTCGCGCGTGCCGGGAATCTGCAGACTCGCGCGCGGCCGGATTCACGCACGGGGCACGCGGGGTCCACGGGTTGAGGAGGAGGAGGAGGAGGAGGAGGAGGAGCAGGAGGGGGAGGAGGAAGAGGAGGCCGAGGAGGAGGAGGAGGAGGAGGAGAAGGAGGAGGAGGAGGAGAAGGAGAGAGGAGGAGAGGAGAGAGGAGAGAGGAGGAGGAGGAGGAGAGGGAGGAGGAGGAGGAGGAGGAGGAGAGGAGGAGGAGGACGTGCGGCGGGCTGGCGCAGGGTCGTGCGAGGTGGCATGCGGCCACGTGTGCATCAAGCTCTCGCCCAGGCCTGCAACATCCGTCGCATGTATCCACCGTCCTCGCACTTCCACGTGCACCCCCACACGCACACACATACACACAATAACAAAAAAGCATACGAGACAGCAGAATTTAACCCCCTCCGCATCCTCACCCGGGAGCCCCCTTAGAAAACCTCCTTCCTCGGCGGACATCTCATCCTCCTCCTCCTCCTCCTCCTCCTCCCTCTCCTCCTTCTCTTCCTCCTCCTCCTCCTCCTCCTCCTCCTCCTTCATTCCTTCTCCTTTTAGATAACTCATTCCTGTCGCACCCCAAGGCCAGTTTGTAGGGCGGGCCGGGCATTTCGCCTGGGACTTCCTCACCACTCATGACTCTGAAGCTAGAAAAATTGACAACCACGTAACGAATTGAGGGCGGGTCCTTCTCAAAATGTGGCTCTCGCCTTAGCGCCGCGCACACTCGTTTTAAAAGTCGCAAGAGTTTCTCTGATTGAGGGCGGGTCGTTATCAAAATGTGACTATCGCCTCAACGCCGCGCACATTCGTTCAATATTTGCAAGATCTTCGCGGATTGAGGGCGGCTCGTTTTCAAAATGTGGCTCTCGCCTTCGCGCGGCGCACATTCGCTCTGACAAATTGCAACAGCTTCACGGATTGAGGGCGGTTCGTTGCCAAAATGTGGCGATTCGGTTTGAATATTTGCAAGGGCTTCACTGGTTCTCATGGTAACGTACCAGAAATCGTGTTTGGGAGCGATTCTGGATTGTCAGGGCGCAACAGTTACGTTGAGTCGCGGTGCTGAATTCCAGGAATCTTGTTCTCGCGCGATTCAGGATCGCCCAGACGTAACAGTCAGGTTACCTCATGGCGTTGAGTTCTGCGAGTGGTATTCTGGCACGCTTCAAGGTTTTCACACGGTTGTCCCACAACGGGACAATTCCCTCAGTGGAACTGACCCCTCGTAGGGGCCTGTGAAGAGGGATCTTAGAGGGAGGGTGTATTCCAACATCGTTGATGAGTCTTGGGTTTGCACTGGTCCTCCTCCCTCCTCCTCCTCCTCCTCCTCCTCCTCCTCCTCTTCCTCCTCCTCCTCATTCTCCACCACCAGTGGTCTCAGGTTTCGGCTTCGGAAAGTTACCACAAGCCTACCGAAGACCCAAAAAGTCAAAATACGTATGCGTAAAAATATTGATCCTCTTCATTAGCCTCATCCTTGTCATCGCACCTCGATCATCAACATGTCCCATCATCCTCATTTTCACCCTACTCCTCCAGCCATCCTTCCGATCCCTCTGCGATCATCGATCCCCGGTCCTCAATCCTTCTCCTCTTGCTCCCCCTGCTCGATCATCGAGCCTCAATCCTTGATCGTCGATTCTCGATCTTCCATCCTCGCTCCTCAGTCTTAGGTCCTCCTCCTCCTCCTCCTCCTCCTCCTCCTCCTCCTCCTCTTCGATCATCCTAGACCATCCCCGATCGTCATTATCATCCTGCTCGATTCTACATCATACAGCCTTCTTCCCCCTCCTCCTCCTCCTCCTCCTCCTCCTCCTCCTCATCATCATCATCATCATCATCATCATCATCATCATCATCATCATCATCATCATCATCATCATCATCATCATCATCATCATCATCATCATCATCATCATCATCATCATCATCATCATCATCATCATCATCATCAGCATCAGCATCATCATCATCATCATCATCATCATCAACATCATCATCATCAGCAGCATCATCATCATCAGCAGCAGCATCATCATCAGCAGCAGCATCATCAGCATCGTCATCGTCATCGTCGTCGTCTCGTCATCATCATCATCATCATCAGCATCATCATCATCATTGGCACCATCATCATCAGCATCATCATCATCAGCATCATCATCATCATCGGCATCACCACCACCACCATCATCAGCAACATCAGCATCAGCATCAGCATCAACAGCATCATCAGCAGCAGCATCATCATCCTCATGTTCCTCCTCATCATCATCATCATCATCATCATCATCATCATCATTATCATCATCATCATCATACCCCCCTCCTCCTCATCATCCTCCTTTTCTCATCCTCCTCCTCATCCTTATCATCATCATCATCATCATCATCAGCAGCAGCATCATCATCAGCAGCAGCATCATCATCATCATCAGCAGCAGCATCAGCAGCATCCTCCTCATCACCATCATCATCCTCATGCTTCTCCTCATCATCCTCATCCTCATCATCATCCTCCCCCTCCTCCAGTTCTCCGCACCAGGCACCACGATAACACGGCGATACCTCGGCCTCGAGGTTCGATCCCTCGATCCCCTGACAGCGTCCCCTTCGGTTTTCTGGCGACAGCGGCCTACCCGTGCCCTAGTGAGACACCCAGGACACTTCTCCCCCTCCTCCTCCTCCTCCTCCTCCTCCTCCTCCTCCTCCTCCTCCTCCTACTACTACTACTACTACTACTACTACTACTCCTACTCCTACTCCTACTCCTACTCCTCCTACTCCTCCTACTCCTCCTGCCATCCTCCTTCTCCTCCTGCCAATGTTACTCCCCCCCACGCGGGGGGGTCCCGTCCCCTCCCCCGCCTTCAACGTGCACGTGGTGGCGTTCGCGGGCTATTGCGGCCGTTGGGCTCTCGCACCACTAGGAGGCCCGCAGGCATCTCGCTCGTGGCGCTCGCAGGCACACCGCGGTACTCACAGGCACGCTGCGGTGCTCGCAGGCGCCCTGCCTACGCTCGCGGGGAAATGGTTTGGCGCGCAGGGCCTTGTGGCGTTGGCGGGGTCCGACTTGCTGCTGTGGCGGTCGCGTGCGGCTGCGGCATTTGGCACGGTCAGGCTGCCTGCGCCGCCTGGTGGTCCCAAGCAAACTGATCGCGGTGCTCTCACAGCCGCACAGCGGTGCTCGCAGGCCCGTCTCGTGCTCGCGAAGGGCATGGAGGACGGGGAGGAGGAGGGCCGATGGACAAGCTGGGCAAGGAGGAGGAGGAAGAGGAGGACGCGGAGGAGGGAGGAGGAGGAGGAGGAGGAGGAGGAGGGCCGATGGACAAGCTGGGCAAGGAGGAGAGGAGGAGGAGCGAGGAGGGAGGAGGAGGGGAGGAGGAGAGGAGAGGAGGAGGAGGAGGAGGAGGAGGAGGGCCGATGGACAAGGAGGAGGAGGAGAGGAGGAGGAGGAGGAGCGGAGGAGGGAGGAGGAGGAGGAGGGAGGAGGAGGAGGAGGAGGAGGAAGGAGAGCAGGAGGAAGCATTGGAGGAGGAGGACCTCCTCCTCCTCCTCCTCCTCCCTCCTCCTCCCTCCTCCTCCTCCTCCTCCTCCCCACATCCACCTCCACCTCCACCTCCTCCTCCTCTCCTCCTCCCCTCCTCCTCCTCCACCTCCTCCACCTCCTCCACCTCCTCCTCCTCCTCCTCCTCGATCCTCGACGATCGATCCCCCTCATCGTTTGAATTACCCCCCCCCCCTGGGAGAGAGCCTGCTGCGTGCCGAGAGCCCGGTGGATCTCCTGCACGATCTGCTTCGGCTGCTTCGAGGAGGTGCACGAGACGTTGAACGCCCCTGCGGGCCCCAATCTCGGGTCGGGCGAAAGGGGGGGATAGCAAAGGGGGGGTTTGAGGATCAGCTCACGTAGCTGATTTTCCCGGCGCCTCCTGGCGCCAGAGGCGGCTATGTATCGAGGAATGGGCCCCTCGGCGAGGCCGAAACCAGCTGCATGCAGCAAATTTCGTAACCCCCCCTTTCCCAATCCCCCCCTTTCGTCCGGCCCGACAATCCCCTGGAGTTAGGTCGGGTATGTCCCCCTACAGGCGGTTTTTTGGGGCGAAAAAATAAAAATACCCCAAACATGCCTCAAACATATTCAAAAATGGTCAAAAAATCGTCTCCATACTATTGTATGGCTATTTTTGCATACATATGCCTCCTGTAGAGGGACAGGCCCGACTTAACCCTGGAGGGGGAACACTATCCATCGGTCGGAAGAAGTAGGTAGAAACAGGAAGCAAGCGCCCACTAGTAATGAGGACGGAAAAGGAGAAGCCACTCGACCATCGAAGTAGGATGGCGCTCAAAGTAGATTGGAGCTTGGGAATCAAAAAATACAGACTCTCAACGACCGATGGGTATGGGGGGGACG